GTGGTGCCGGGCATCAAACCGCTGTCCCTGCGATTTGCCTAAGCTTGCCCTAAGCAGGCGCTTTAGACTGCTGAGCTATCTCACCAGTCCCAATGTAATTTTTTTAAAGTCACATAGAAACAGGTGTGTGTAACTAAAGGAAAAAAAAAAAAAACCCACAACAAAAAACAGGAAAAAGAAAAAAAAAAAAAACAGGAAGAGGCTCGGCAGAACTGGGAAAGCTATTTCTGCGCTGTCCACTTGTTTGGAAGAGACACTCTTCCCCTGGTGAAAGCCGCGTGGGAGTGGCGAGAAGGCAGCCCCGGCAAAGCTGAGCTGGGACTGCTGGGCGCTGAGGCGCTCACCTTGAACGAATCCGTCTTGTATTACACACTGACAAGAGCCTCCCCTGAGGGTCTCCTTATGGGTCCATGGGGAATCAAGTGTCTATGCCCAATCCAGAATCCCGAGGAGAAATGACGGAGCAGCTCTTCCCTGAGCTTTCAGGAGGCCGCAGTGAACTGGGGAGCGGGGCTAGGGGCAGCGCAGTGCTGAGCAGAACCTAGTACAGGAGGCGCAGGGCTAGGATGCAGCCTGGGTGGGCGAGGTGAGGACAGCTGCTGAGAAAGAAGGCTGTGACCTTCACTGCAGCTCAGTAAGACAGAGGGGATGCTGAGGGAACCCTACGACGGAACACCTCCTGTGTCATAATGCATTGTTCTTAATGAAAATGGTAGTCTTCCCTTGCTATCTGTGTAGGATTGGATTGGTTGCAAGACCCCACAGGATACCGAAATCCAGGGCTGCTCACCTGGAAGCGTACTTGCACGCGGCCTATACCATCCTGTATGGCTTGAATCCTCTCCAGATGATTTACAATGCCTAATACAATGTGAGGTTGTTATACTCTTATTAAAGGGAATTACATTTTTGTATGGAATAATGACAAGAAAGTCTATACACATACTGAGACAAATACGACCATCGTTGGCCCAACTACATTTTGAATTCTCATTGGCTAAATGCAAGGACGCAGAACCTCAGAGGGCCAGCTTGTACAGCAGTGTGCTGTCGGTATTTTCTTGATTGAACTTTTACCTGTAACCCTGGTGTCCTTCTGCAGCACTGGGCAGTGGTCACACAGGGCGCGCGCTGCGTTGCTTTGCTCAGTGCCCAGACCCATGCGGTGCTACCCTGCTCTGCATCCCACCTCCTGAGCTAACTCAGTGGGAGGGAGAGAAACCAGGGTATCTAATAGCTTTGCGTTTCCGGTCCTCGCCCACCCTCCCCCACTCGTTTCCAGGCTGACTCAGGCAGAGGGATACAAGCAGCTTTTTCTAATGTAATCTGAGTGTTTCTCAGCTCTTCCATCACCCCAATAATCAAGTTGCTATATTAAAATATTTGAAATGCCGGGCATGGTAGCACACGCCTGCCGTCCCAGCACTCGGATCACTGCAAGTTCAAGGCCAGCCTGACTACAAAAAACTATTGTAGCTTACAATACCTACAGCGAATTGTTTTTCTGAGCAGGTCTTGAAACCGGTGCCTTTATTTAAGCTCTTATGTATGAACTACACTATAGTCAAACCATTAAGCTAAATATTAGTCCCCAAGCTTGTATACTTCCTTAGCACAAATTTCTAGATAATTATACAAAACCTATTTTAGATGTGTATTGGCATGTTCTCTACAACACAATAGGATTGTACCAGTGTATGCTTCCAAACTCTAATTGCAATTTTTCTTTCAGTAGGAAAAATCATACATTTGCTTTTTGTTTTGGTTTGGTTTTTTTGAATAGCATTTTGCCATAGGGAGTTGAGGCTGGAACTCACTAAGTAGCTCAGGCCTGCCTCATTCTTGTCAGACCTCTGCCTCCCGGGCTCCTGAGTACTGGGATTCCAAGTGTGACTGCATTGCTCATCTTCTTCATTAGTCAAGCAGTAGCATCAGTGGGCACCACTAGAGACTTCCGGGAAATTTGTTCACCAGATTTGTTTTTCCTATTGAGGGGTACGAAAAGACAGGGCCAAGTGCCTTGCGGATGTTCATGTGGAGAACTACACATCCTGAAAGAGCATCACATCTACCTCCTGAGACCCACTGTGGGCCCTGGGGTGACACTACATCCCAGCCTGCTACCTGGACAAGAGATGCCAGGACGACGATGGCTCTCTAGTGATAGTTCCTGACAACAGAGACTCAGGGGAAAAGCTTTCCAGTTCTATTAAGCCTGAATTTGTGTGGAGTGAAATGTATAGGACCAGGCCACATCTTGGCCACACACACACACACACACACACACATCATTGGCCTCCATGCCCACAGGTTCCATAGATGAAGCCAATCAACCTTAGAAAACATTCAGAAAAATGCACGTGTATTAAACATGTATATTAAACATGCACACCTTGTCATTATTCCTTAAATAACAAAACTATTAATACATTATGTATTACACATAATCTAGACCAAGGATATAAGTCCTATGCAAATACTAAACTACTTTGTTTATATAAGAGGAACTTCTGTAAAATTCACAGATTTGTTATTTTTGGGTATGTTCTCCAGCCACCGTCCCATGCACAGTGAGAGATGACTACACACGCAAAACCAAGACATGCATAATTATTAGACTATTCAGGTAGTATTAGCATGTCCTTAAGATAGCCAGTGTGTATTACATACATGTGTGCGTGTGTGCATGTGTGTGTGTTTAAGACAGGGTCTCCATCTGCAGTTCAGGCTGGCCTTGAGCTCACTTTGGTCTCCAACTCACAACGATCCTCCTGTGCTGGGATTAGAGGCAGGCACTACCACACCTGGCCAAAGATAACCAGCCTTAAACATGCACACTGAATATTTTGCTCAGGTGACACATCGAGTTATTTTGAAAAAAGTTAAACTTTATTAATAAAATTTAACATCACATAGTTAATTCAACTAGTTCTTTATTGTACACAGTGACAACATCTTCACCAGATTGAGTGCTCAAAGGGTTGAGATGATCCATACTGGGCACACTGTGGGCAAAGATTGAGATGCACTCTATTTACATCAAGCAGAGCAGCAGCAACCAGGGGAGGGCAGTCAACATGCAGTGTCCAGAGCTCTGGCATAGAAACCAACAATACATCTTTAATAGCCACACATACATTTAGAACACAGGATTTAAAAACACATAATTTAAGTTAAAATTCAATAATAAAATTAAGTTAAAATTCATCTGTACTTCACGGATATCCTTTAGTGATTGACAAGTCTATAGTGGCTTTTGACTTTCTCATTGTAATTGAAGGCACCCACACTTTAGATAATAACTGCAGACAAGGGTAGCAAAGGAGCTTCTCCAGACAGGCAAAGTCAGACTGTGACAAATGAGGATGTGTCCCCTTTCCTTTTTCCTTCTCAAGAAGATCTGGGCCATGTTCACTTACTTATCCCCCTCTTATTCAAGAGTGATAACCAGGCCCTGTTCTCAGCCCAAGCTAGAAAATGTACAAAAATAAGCTTCAACCAATTTGTGAGTTTCTGTCCATTTTCCTGTTTTGATCCTGTTTTCTATATCTTCTTCAATAGTGCTCCAGGCTCTTTCCTCTTTCTCATACTGTATCCAGACTTCATGTTCATGATTGTTTTCCTTGGGAGCAGAAGCAGACTTTTAGACTGAGAGTCAACTGCACTCTTGAGAAGTAGTAATCTGGAGGCTTCTAGGCCATCCCAATCTCTGCCATGAAATAAAAACCATGTAGAAAACACAAAAACAGGCCTGCAGGCTGATGCTAGCTCAGCCCAGGGAAGCACACTTCTTGTAAAACATTTACAAGACAAACTCAAGGTGAAATTTGCTAAGAGGGCACAAGCATACCAAAAATGTTGTCCCTGAGATGGTATTTGTTTGGTTCATTAATTGCTTCATTTTGGTTTGAGGTTGACAATTTGAAAAAATTTTTGAAATTTCTGGTGGCTTCCTTTATCTTGTCAGACAGCTTTGACATACCTAATGCCCTGAACATAAAAAATAAAGACTCCTAGGCAGTGTGTCTACTTGAAATGATTTCTTTGGTTTCCTTTGGTGCATATCCCATGTAACACTGTGCCAAGGAAGTCCCTAGACAGGGCTGCCAGTGGCTGTGGTTGCTCTAATCCATGGGCCCAGCCTCAGTCTCCATTCCTGCTTCCATAGATTTTCAAGACTGCCAGGGAGAAAAGAGCCAGAAAGCTGATGCTTCGCCATTCACTCACCCCCAAGGCTTCCCTTCTCTTCCTGCAGGCAAATGAGGTATTTCTAGGAGCTAGTCAATATCAGTACCTTCCATCCTAAACTAAACTGATCTATCAATGAGGCCAAGTCTGAGGATACCTTGTCTATCTATCTACATATATATATATAACAAATTAACAAATATAAATATTACATACAATCGATCACATAATGAAGAGACCTATTTCATGAACTAAGTTTCACACATAAATTAAAATAAAAACACGATACTTCCACTTTTGCAGGAAGATATTAAAAATAAACTCAAATTTCCCCTTTCCCTCAAGGTCCGATGCTCACAGTGGATCCATGCACCCACAATGAGATGCAGAGGCGAACCCACTCACGGGATGCTCCTGGCTTTGGTTTCACTGCCTGGATGGGGGATTCCTTGATTCCAGGCCCATAAATGCTGGAATCCACAGGGCAACACTCATGAGCATGTTGAAGACAGGCTGTCCAGTGGACACTCATGAGATTTCCTTCCTCTGGCCACCCCCACTCTTCCAAGTCTGCCTGCAGGAGGATCAGGCTTGCATTCTTAGTGGAAACCTCTCAGACCTCTAAGTGGAGAATCGATGTCACTGTTCATGCAGGGGGATGGCTCCACCTAGAAAAGTCACATTCAGCTCCACAGGGAGGCAGCCGCATCGCTAAGACTGTCCCCATTTTGTCGATTGCACAGGAACCAGAAACTTGGCCAGGAGATAACAAAGGATTGCATTTAAAAGTCACCCAGTGGGAATGGTTGTGATCAGCATGAGAAAAGGCAGGGCTTGGATACAAACTACAGTGAACGTATTCAGAGACAAAACTTAGTCCTCTGGGGTCTTTTCTGCTAAAGAAAAGCTAAGGGGTCTGTCTCAGACACAGAGGGACAACACCTTATAATTTAAAACAGGGAAAAGGGAACCAGAGATGTCCCTGCCAATCTCTGGGGGTCCTATCGCTGTCCAGCCTCGCGGATGCGGCAGGCCACAGCAGTGATGAGAGCGGCCCCCTTCCCGCTGCCGTCCTCAGACTCCAAAAAGGACACTTCACACTTCGGGGCCAGGTCCTTCACTGTCTCATGCATAACTTTTGCAAAGCTGGAGAGTTAAAAAAAAAAAAAGCTGGTTAGTCAAGAGCTGATTTGATGTCCCCAGAAGTGCAACTCCAAAAAGTCTGGAGACCAGGAATAATGAAGAAACGAATCACAGAGACAATGTGGTAAACCTTCATGTTGTCTTACGTATCAGAAAATTAAGACTGCAAGGTGCTACTGACATGTCCAAATTCTACAGCACAGTGGGGCCACAAGGGATTGAGATTCAACTTGAGAATAAATGCCTTGTGATTCTATGAATTCTCCTCATAAAACTAATCAGTGCAAGAGAAAAAGCTGTAGGCCACACACTTGCCTTGCTGTTTATACACTCTGCAGGGGGCAGTAACACCCACATGTGTGGCTTTATGTTGTCCAAGGGCCAGGTTTCTCATCAGACCCATATCTACTACAAAACTCACCTGAAGACAGAAGGGGCAAGTGTCTAGAGTTGCTTTTAGGATGTAAGAGAAATCAGATATTTTTTCCATATGAACATGGAAAAGGAACCAACACCATCCAACCCAACACAGCAGGGTCATGATGCCCTATCACCATTAGAAAGACATGGAGCCCAGGGGTGTAGCAGGGGCTTCCATCCCTGCTGTAGTTTGGATCTGAAATGTGCCCCTAAAAGCCTATGTGTTAAAGGGCTGGTCCATAGCTTGGCAATATTGGGCAATAATAGAATATGTAAGAGTTGTGGGGCAGGTAGGTCTCCCTGTCTTTCTCACGTCCCAGTCATAAGGTGTACAATTTTATCCACACATAGGAAAGCACATTCCTGCCAGGATCTCCCGCTTTTCCACAGCCTGAGAAGCAACAGTGCCAAGCAATCATGGCTTGACCTCCAAATGAAGCTTTTCTCTTCATGGGCTGATTATCTCTGGCATTTTACTATAGTTGTAGAAAGCTGACTAACACAGCCCATCTCCCATCCCCCATCTGGAACCCAGGCTCCTATTTTCACAATGATATTGATTATCATGAAAAGGTCTTGGACCTTCTATGATCCCCTCTTTTTGCTATAGTGTAGACTCTGAGCTCTTCCAAACAACCACAGAGCATGCCAAGAGTCCTTCCGGGGCTCTTTGTCCTCCCCTCCGTCCTGTGGACACTGCCAGGCCAGGGCACAGGTCTACCCCTTTAACTTCTAGCTGAAAAACTTCCAGAATGTTTGGGGCATTTTCTGCCTTTCAAATAAATGATTCAAAACATATACAAAGGAAGGAAAAGAGAGAGAAGCAAAATGATGACAGAGAGAGAAAAGAGCAAGAAACGTAGAGAAAGAAAGTAGAATAAAAACAAAAGTTAGCATTTCCATCATGAAGGATGGCAAGCTCTCCACAAAGGAGCAGGCAACAGATACTTCCAGCGTTGCAGGCCAAGTGGTCTGTGGCAATTACTCTTCCGGTGACAGCAGCCATTGCCAATACATAAACATGTGAGCGTGGCTGCATTCCAATAAAACTTTATTTACAAGTAGTCAGTGGTATTATTTGTCAAATCTCTGCTTCACATCATATGAAAAATGACTTGCTTGAGTCCTAGGGTACGTTTACTAGAATATTCACAGCAGCACTGCTTGTAATAAAGTCAAGATCCAGAAATGATCCAAATATCACCTCAGCAGATATAATAACATACACATACTAAGGTATGATATCTAAAATTGATAAAACTATAATTGCACATTTCAATATGGATACCTCTTAAAATCATAAATACATGCTGGGCATGATGGTGCACACTTGTAGCCTCAGCTACTGGGGAGGCTGAGGCAGGAGGATTGCTTAACCCTGGGGTCCTTGAGGCTAGCCTGATCAACATAGGGAGGCTTCATGCTGAAGGAAGAGAGGAAAAGATGAAAGGACAAAAGGAAAAAGTTAGAGAAAAGGGGGAAAGAGAAAAAGAGAAAAGGAGAGAGGGAGGAAAGATGGAAAAAGTTGTTTAAAAACTATACATGCTGTGTGTTAGAAAAAAAATCGCAGAAAGGATACCATGTGATTCCATTCACAGCAAGTCCAAAAATAAGGAAAACTACATAGCAGAGACTTATACATAGGTGTATGGGAAAATTAAAGCAAGAGACTGAGCCGGGCTCTAGTCCCGGGCAGGGAAAGGGGGATGTGTGTGGGAGGGGCTCACATGGAGGTTTCCAAGGCTGCGGAGTAGAACACAGGCCTCTTCTGAGTGTTAGCTTTCCCACTATAAACAATACACACTCAGGGCCCATTGATAACGTACCACAAAGTCAAGAAAGAGTGAGAGACGGAGAGGCCAACAGGCCAGGGGCAGGTACTCACTGAGGATGTAGCTTGTAGAGGGTCCCATCCACACCCACTGTCACCTTGAGGGTGTCTAGCCCACGGTTTTCCCGTATCTTGTCCACCACGGCAGCCATGCCTGCACCACAGAGCTGGGCCGCCCGCCGCGCCACCACAGCGCACACCTCCTTGACAATGATGCTGTCATCACAGGTGCTGTCGAGCCCTAAGTGATGCAGGATGGCGCGGACCTGCAGCAGGGCCAGGCAGTCACTGGGCAGGGAGGAGACGGTTAGCGGTCAGTCACACAGACAGAGACGGGGCGGCCGAAGCTCAGGCCCAGCTCCTCAAGCAACAGAGGCTCCTGTGGCTCTGCGAGGTGGACCCTGCTCCCGGGCTCAGCACACTGTCCGTCCCTTGGCACCACCCCAACTCTTCTCTTTAAGAGCATAGTCACGGCCACACAGTGGAGCACTGCCATATAAAACTGATATGCAAAACAAAAGGCAGTTCCTTGTCCACGTATTCAAAAAAGGTTGTCTACATTCTCCACTCATTTGGCAATACTAAGACGGCATCAACGCCAGCCTGTGGCACTTTCCAGCTGCAACACTCTTTCGTGTCCTCTCTCCCACTGCTGTCTGTGGGTCTGAGGACACAGTCACTTGGGGCCAGCACTAGACTCCTCCTGCTCTATTCCTCCTCCCCATGCTGGGTGTTCTGTGTCCGGCTTGTGCACTCTTTATGATACAGATGTAAACAAAACTGCAGGAAAAAAATATTTTAGAAACTGGGAATCATTTCCTCTCACGTGAACACACAAGCAAACTAGAATATACCGTCTCTGTCACCGGTACAGATGCCCAAGAGGTCTGTTCATGCCAAGTCCCTAGTCTATTGCCTGAAAGTAATGACAGCATTCATTTGTAAAGGCCACTAAAATTCACCATTCTATTTTGGAGCTGACTTTTCTGACATTAGGCTGGAGAAGCAAGTCTTTGCTCTAACAGGGCTTCACGGCTCACGGCTCACGGCTGCCAGACGGTCCCACCTGTGCTCAATCCTGGCTGACTGATTACGGCAACCAGCAGTTAGGAAAGGCTGCCAGGCAGCACTCAGACACTGTCAGGTAGCTTCCACTGTGCGTTTCAACTTACATCCTATTAGCAAGTTTCTTTCTAGCATCGTATCTGGTATAAGTTCCATCATATCACTCTTCATGGCCTCATGCCACTGCTCAATGCAAGCTTTCTAGAGAATGTCACATACCAATGTGTTAGCCACTAAACTGACCTTTGTATAAACCACACCCTGAGCTCACTTGTGCTGCGGGAATCCTCTGTCTGCCCTGGGAAAAAAAGGAGGACACAGCTCCACCAGCCCCCAAATTCATACCTCTCAATCTGAGACAGGAACTTGGTTTCAAAGATTCCCCTCGTCTTAAGCCTTTCCGAGATGCGGCCACGGAACAGCAGCCCACGCTTGGTGAAATCGATGAGGACGTTACGCACGATCTCGCCCAGGTACATGCCGCTGATCATTTTCTCAAACCTGTCATTCAAAGAACGTTTATGGAGGTTAAGTTAAGCAGGAAGGTGGTGGGAGAAACAAAGTGGAGGGGTACAGCCTCCTGGGTAGGAGAGGTAGCATTTGATTCCCTGGGGCAGGTTTCCTGGTGGCCTCCCTTGCGACCCACCATCTGACCCATGGTGCCTGAGGCCCACAGGCTCCCTGGGACTGGCCCCATCTCCTAGGCCCATTTCTTTTCCAGGGCTTATTCCAGCCCCTCCAGGAGAAACACACACCAAACTCTACCCACCAGGCCCCCACAAGCAGGAAGGAAGCTAAGTCTTAATCCTTAACTCCACTAGCAGAGAACATGCACTACCGGAGTCCTTAGAGCCTGCTGCGGACCCTCATGCTGGCCACTGGAGCTGGAGGAGACTGTGACATTTTGAGGGTCTTTCAACTCCACATAGCACCTTTCACAAAGCCAATCAAAACCCGGACACTGCCCCATCTTGCCTTACTGAATGAAGCCCTGTTCCCAGAGGCATTATAGCCTGGGAACTGTATGAGACAAATGTTTTGCAAACTACCTTCTGTAGGACCAGGGTTCCTGATTAATTCAGCTGGGAAACACTACAATTCTTTCCTAATGGGATGTGTGTTAGAGCTCACAGTCTCTCGGCTCAGACCTCCTCCTCACCACGCCACTGCACATGGGTGCTGTGACACTGGCAATACAAGGCCCCAGAGGCCAGGTGCTGGGCAGGATAAAAGGACTGGCTCCTTTCCATCTAGGTCAACCTAGCAGCGCTTCTCCCAGGGCAACAGATGGCTCCACTTTCCATTTGCTGTCCCTCAGGGTCCCACAGCCTGGGTCCCAACTCCTGCTTGTTCTCCAGGGCCTTCAGGTGGATGGTGCTGCTACTACTTACTAATTCAGAACTTACAGGTATGTCTGACAAGAAACCCTTTTGAGAAACGCATTACAACTCAACCCAGCGAGCATCTTGTAGACCGTGGTCAAGGCTCTGATCATTCGATCACTGGCTGCAGCCCAGTTCTGGGCCGTGCATCCCACACAATTGCGTGCCTACCTCTGCTTGCCTGGGTTCAGTGACAGCTCATCCACAGCCACATCAAATTCTGTGCGGAAGTCATCTAAGCATCCATTGTCCCCAAAGGCCCCCCACTCCATGTTGACACACATTCGGCCCTCTTCTCCATCCACCAGCTCCACGTTACGCATCTCCTCCATGTAGCAGGCGTTGCTGCCTGTGCCTGCCGATCACAAGGGCACCTCGCTCACACCTGCCTCCTCCCACGCAGGGCCAAGCGTCCCATGTGGGAAGGGTGGCTGGTGTCCTTACCAACGATGAGACCAACTTCACAGTGAGGGTCTTCGTAGCCACAGGTCATCATAGTTCCTACTGTGTCATTCACCACCGCAACTACATCCAGGTCAAACTCCTGAAAGACCAGAAGCAGATGTCTAGTCCATAAACGCACCCCAACAGTCAACTTTCAGACATTTGCAAGGGAGAATTACATGGATACAAAATAACTCATGCTGTGGCTCTCCCACTTAAGTCTCTGCTCAAACACCACCTGTTCAGAGACCCCGTCCCTGGTTGTGCTGTGAGATTGCAGCTTCCCTGCCTGCTCTCTGCATCCACCTCATTACTGTTGATAGACCTGACAGCACCCACCACTGAGTCATGGGCTTTTCTTCATCCAGCTACATCTACTAGTCACTCAAGAATCCCTCTGCCCAGAACAGAGCTTGAGGCACACAGGAGACCCTCAACAACTGGTAAAGAGCTAAGTTAACTTCCGTCTAACCAAAGCAACTGAACTCAACACTGTACCCACTCTTGGAACCTATACATGTTTCAAGAATAAGGAAACTGACACAGGCTTCACATTTGTCTCTCCTACCTCTCGGCGGTGGATGGCTTCTTTCAGCAGGGTGACCACATCCTCGCCCTCACAGCCAGAGGCCTTGAAGCCTTTTGTCCACTTGAGGAGAATGCTCTGAAAATCATACGTGTTGGGGAGAGACAACATCAGAGCAGGCCTCCTAGGTCATTCCTGGAGCCTGGCTGCACTCTAGTCCTCAACTTCACAGATTAGATACCCAAGAGGAACCAGTAATCTCACTCACAAAGAATTGGAAACTTGTTTCTTTTCTTTTCCTATTTACTTACTTATGTGCTTATTCATAGACAAGGTATTGCTATGTAGGTCAGACTAGCTTTGAACTGAGTATGCGACCCAGGCTGGCCTTGAACTCCTGGGGATCCTCCTGCCCTAGCTTCCCCAGTGCTGCAAACTAAACGTGTTTCTAAGGCACTCACTTAGATTCACTGAGTACCTATCATGCATCACGTGCTGGGCTAAGTGTGTTGTATCATTTAATCCTCACAGCCGTCTTTCACATCACCACAATCACACCACATTATACTAACTGAGAAATAGAGGTAACTTGGCTGCGACCTACAATTTGAAGACACGAGTGGGACTCATGTCCAGGCAAATAGACACCTGGGAATGGGCTCATAGCGCTGAGTGAATGCCCTACGCACGTGTTCCCTTCCTTGGGCAAAGCAGTTTACTCTGTCCCGCCCCACATTCCGCAGGGAGGGAAGCTCTGCACCACTCGTAGTGTCCTCTGTGTGCTGTCTGTCATGTGGTCTTCAGTACCATAGGACCACCTGAGAGAGATTTTTGCTCCCAGGAGCCCTCTGTTCTGTGGCAGGCCTCAGGAACAGCCTCCGGAGCTCCTTTTCCCAAGAGGCCAGAACATGCCGGTAGGCTGTGCACTCGGGGCCACCCACTCCTATCTCCAGGATTTCCGTGGTGGTTCATGCTCAAAACCTGGCACTTTATCAACCAGGGTGTGTCCCAGAGGATTCAAAAGAACAAAGCACATCCTGTGAAGCCCTGGTTTCAATACTCACATCCTGACAAGGGAGTGTTTTATCTCCACCCACCTCTCTTGTCTACAAGCTAGCTTCACTTCTCTGGCAAAGGTTTGTATTTGACACTTAAAAGTTTACAAGGGCTGGGGGCTGTCACTCAGTGGCAGGGCACAGACCTAGTGCGCTGAGGCCCTGGGTTCCATTCTCAGCATCAGACAATGTAGTACACACGCAGTAAGCATCATCTCAAGTAATCATGGTAACAAGACAAGAACAGGTCCCCACAGACAACGAGATCTGCCCAAGGCCAGGGGATGCCCGGGTGTTCTGGGCCTCCTCACCTGCTGAGGCCGCAGGCACAGAATGATCTCACCTGAGTCAACAGGTGTCCCTGCCTCTCCCTCCACTCTTCCTTTTCATGAATCTAGACAAACTTGCACTTCTCACAAAGTAATCGAAAATATAGAATAAAATCCAGCAAGGTGGCCTGGGACCTTACAATTCAGATAAAAATAATTAACACATCTTCTAGTTCACCTGATAAAAGATAGATACCGGTGGATAGGAAGAGACAGCATCTGCTTAAAATATTTTTTAAAAAAATCTTTTAAAATTTTATTTATTTATTTGGTAAAGATTCTTGCTACACACCTCAGACTCATAGTGATATTCTTGTCTCAGCCTGCCCAGTGCTGGGATTACAGGCATGTGCCACCATGCCTGGTCTTAGTGGCCAGCTCGGCATGGGACCAGCATGGCATGGGGTACCAGGGATCGAACCTGGGTCCTTGTGCTCGCCAGTAGGTACTTAGACTGCTGAGCTATCTCCCTAGTCCCTAAAATGAAGTAGGAAAAAACCTAGAATGTATACACTAGAGTGTCATGCTTTTATCTTCTATTGATCTTATTTTTTTACATATTTGTCTATATCATGAAGATTATTATTTTTAAAGAAAAGTTATCCAGCCCAGGTTATCTGAAGCAATCTAAGGCAGCACCCATGCCTTCCGTCCTGGCAACTGCATCTGCAGCAGCAAGCCCAACATCTATGGCACGCACACGGGCTTCTTCTACACGCCTGATGCAGAGGAGCGACTGCTCACATAACCGTATGCTGAGCTACGTCAACAGTCCAGCTCCAGCACTGCCTACTCAGTCCTCTCCTCCGTGGGGAAGAACATCTGCAAGCACCAGACCTGCACCCATCTGTTTCCTCCTCCCAAGCCAGCAAGCTGAAGGGAGGCAAAGGTGGGACCAGAGAAGAGCCAGGGCATCTGCACCAGGAGACAACAAAACTCCCTATGCCATAACAAGGAGCAATGAGGCTCCGTAATGGCCACAAAGATGAGGAACTGCTGTCCCTACACCAGATCCTTTCCTGAGAGGCCACAGCTTGCCAGGGAGCTGTGTGCTCCCTGCCAAGCACCTGCACAGCGCCTCCAGCACTTGCTCCATACTTCATGCCCACCGGCTTGGCGTTTTATCAACCTGGATGTGTCACAGACTCTGAAGAACAAAGCACATCCCTGTACAGCCCTGGCATACACACCCACATCCACACAATATGGGGGCACAGGCACACACACACACACACACACACACACACACACCCATCTTACAGGGTTGCTATGAGGACTAAGTGAGATCATGCACATAAGAAGCCAACATAGCATGTGCCAAAATGTACTTAAAATTTTTAAGCTCTATTTTGCTTTTGGTCACTGTCATTAGTGTCCCAAAGACTATTGCAGCCAAGCTAAAATTTGTCCCTACCAGGAAGCTCCACTCCCTCTGGTCACACAGGCCTTGCTTTCCCTCTGCTCAGCTTAGCTTTCTCCCCAGTTCAGATGGGGGTGGGGAGTTGTTACCTCATCCAGGCTGTTCTGCTGGCATGGGAAGGAGAAGGTGAAACCTAGAGGCAGTGACACGCCCTTCATCCCCATGTACTCCAGGAAGTCAGCGATGCACTGCACGATGTGGTCAAAGAGCTGCAGGAACAGGTGGGGTGCTTAGAAAGAGCCCTGGCCAGGGCAGGCCGCCTCCAGCAGGGCCTGAGCCCAGGCTCAACATTTCCACCCTTAAGAAGCCTAAGCTCAGTCCCAGACCTAGGAGAAATTAGGCTGGCATCCTGGGCTCACTGAGCCCTCCCTGGGGCCATGGCTGAGCAGACAGTGCTATCCATGAAGGCAAGAAGTCTACCAGGCCCTCCCGGGATGCAGCCTGCCTCACCTCCTCCCCAGTGCCGTGCATGACCTCCTGGGGGATGGAGTAGATCTTGTTATGCATCTCCACTCCTCGCCGCTTCCCATTCCGCACACGAACCAGCAGGACCCGGAAGTTTGTTCCTCCAAGGTCCAAGGCCAGGAAGTCCCCTTTCTCTGGAAAACCAACCCAGGAAAATGATGGGTTAGACTGGCGAAGAGTGACAGTTGATGCTCCTTCCCCTGAAGAGAGGTCCTCCCTAGAGCTCTTCCTCCACCTGGGGGGGGGGGGGGGCACGACGACAATGGAATGTGAGCGCTCCCTAAGGGAGAAGAAAATAAGTTACCCAGGCCATATCTCTTTTGGCCACTGGTGGTCCTCAAAGGAGTCCATGTGGCAGGGGCCCAAAATCACAATGAGCTCTGCAGAACATGGGGAACACTGCCTGCTGACACACTGCACTTAACACCATCTAAGTACACAGCTGTGTCAAATCAAACATCACCCTAGGTTGGACTCTAGAATAGAGTGAATACAGCAAAGCATAGCTCTTCGAAAGAAGTGGAAGGGAAATCTTTTAAAGTGAGAGCCCCTCCCTTTCTCGGCAATTTCATTGCAAAGGCACTTCCTCAGTCAGGGCTGCAACGCTAGCAAAAGGTGGGCAAGAACTAAGCTCCAGTTCCAAACTCAGGAACTTCACTATCCTGGCAATAGTGGCCGGCTCATCAGTCATTTTTCTCTGAAATGGCAGAAGACTCAAGTTTGTTGGGACATAAGACCTCTACAGAAGGTCGAAATCTCTTTGTATAAAGGGCAATTGGAAACATTTTCAGCTTTGTAGGCCACGTTGTGTCTGTTTCAACCCTTCAACTTCGGCAGGGGAACATGAAGGTACAATACTGCACAGATGGGTGGCATGGCTGCATACGAATAAAACATTATTTACAAATGCTGGTATGAGTCCAATTAGCCCATGCTGACCTAGATGTGATGAGATGGCTCTGGGATGTGAATTCCAGTTCTAATATCCAACAGCTATATGATCTGGGCAAACTCGTGAACTTCTCTATGCTTCTGTTTTCTACCAAACATGGCAGCTCATTGGGAAATTCTAAATTTTAACAGTGAACAAATACTGAGTCGATATACAGTAAGCGCTCAGTAATACGGACTAACATTACTGTTTGATTTTTAGCAGAGGAACTCCTGGTTGACAGCATGGAATGCTAACATTCACTTAAAGCAAAATAGCTGAAGAAACATTCTGGTTCAAGCATTCAGGGCTAAAGCTCAGGGATTCCTTTCAGAACATCAACACCAGGCTGCATACCTGTGCCATCAGGGGTGGCACACACATAGGTGGGCAGCATCTTCACAGGAGCTACGGTGTGTGTCTCCTTGCTTAGACCTCGCTCCATTTCAACCTTCATCCTCCTCTTGATCTCCAGTAGCTGCTCATGGCTCAGTTTTAGAGGCTCAAGGATCTTCTGGCGGGCTCGGTGCTGGTCTGCCAGTCGATAAGCCACCGCAGTCACCATAGCTGCCCCTTTGCCACTGCCATCCTCAGAGCGGAGAAAGCGAACATCGCAATCTGGCACCAGCCTCCGCACGGCCTTGTGGAGATGCTTGGCAAAACTGCAGCCACCAAGAGGGTGAGACAGGAGTCACAGTTAAGGGCTGTGGGGCATGCAGAGGGCTGTCCAGGGGCTACCGCCTTGGCCCAAGTGCTAGGAGACCCCGTGGGAGATGTAGGAATGAGCTGATGCTAACCTCAACCTCCTCTCTCTTTTCTCCTAACTTGTGGGGGTCACTATGCAAAAACTCAGGTATTCACCTGTGACTACCCTGCCTGTTTATCCCCCACAGAAAGGAGAAGCCCTCTAACAAGCCACTGTCCCCAGCACACAGTCACACACGATGACTGTCCTCTCGATGATGCCCTCTTCCTCATCGAGCTGGCCTGCACACCAGTTCCTCTGCTCAGTAAGCTACAGTCAGCTCTGCTGGGGCAGCCTGAAGGAATCGGGTGGCTTTCCTGCCATTGTACTTGTCATGTCTATTATTCGTTTCATTTCACTTTGCCTGGGAAAGACACTAAACAGAACAGCTGGCAATGCCTTTCTTCTGGCCTGTTTCTACCAAAGATCCCGATTTTGCTGAGCACACCGGGCAAGTTCAGCAAGAAACTCTCCACGTGGTAACCACTTGCTATGTACGTGCGGTCTGTGGGCAGCACCTCACTCAGGACTGTTAGAGAACCCAGCTCATTCAAAAGCTTCTGACTCAGAATAGCCACTTAAGAAGATCCCCAAATGATTCATATATACATTGATGTTCTTGGGGCACTGGGCTAGGAGACTGGGAACTCCCACATTAAAGCTTTCACAGCAATCTGTTCAGTTAATGAAGGTCCCTTGAACCAGCACTCACATTAAGAGAAAACAGGCTAGCATGGCCGAGGGGTATCTTCCAGGTCCCAGCTGAACTTTCAGTGTTTGGGTACATACGATGGGAAGGCTCTAAATGTTAATACCCAAGTCAGCCAGAGAATAACCCACTGCAGCTACCCACCAGGCTGGGGAGGGCCCGGCACCTGCAGGAACCACTATGGTCACGCAAGAGTAAAGAAAGAAAGGCTAACTCATCAGGAAGAGGGAGACAGGCAGGGCACACAGCAGCCAGGGGAGTTCATAGCAGGAGGACAGCTCCCAGCTCCCACCTTCCCTGAGAGACACTTCTCCGCTCCACAAACCCTCAACCCCAGGAAACACACCCTGGAACTGGCCATGGAGGGACCAATCGCAGGTGCCGTCAGGGCCCCGTTCCCCCCAGGCAGGGGATGCTGACTCACTGAGGGTGCTTCTTGTACACAGAACCATCGACCCCGATGGTGGAGCGCAGCCGATCCTCGCCCTTGTTTTCCTTGAGGCGCCGCAGCACAGCCACCAGCGTGGCCGCACACAGGCTGGCAGAGCGCGTGGACACTATCTGGCAGACCCGGCGGGTGGCCACACAGTCCTCCTGCAGGGGATCCATCCCCAGCCGTACCAGCACTCGGCGAGCCTTCTCGATACCATCCTTTTCCCTGGGAAACAGAGACGGGGCTGTGGGCAAGTGTGTGACCGGAGAGGAGGCCTCAGCTCCAGAAAACCCCATCTGCCAGAGTGGGCAGAATCCTTCACTGCTGTGAGGGGGAGGCAGGACCAGGACCAGGACTGCGATTGGGATTGAGATAAACAGCCACCTGAGGCTTCTCTCCTCTCCCAGACCTTCTCTGCGTCTCTCTCCGCCCACTGCCACATCTCACCTCTCTAGTGTCTCTTATTTTATTTGTATTTATTTATTTATTGCAGAACCAGGGATTAAACTCAGGCCCTTGCACTTGCCAGGCAAGCGCTTATTTTACTGAGCCATTTCTCCGGCCCCTCTAGTGTCCCTCTAACCTCCCTAATAGAAATTACAACCTAGTATTCCTCTGTATGTACCATGTGAGGCCAAGGCCATTTTCCTGGTGCTTTACACACTGGGTTGGTGGAGTGAGCTTGGGCCGTTTGCTCATCTCAGCACAGACAAATGAGCCTCCACCACTAGCCCTCTCTGAATGTGAGCATCCAGCTGCCTTCCCTCTGATGCTGAAAGGGGCTGCCTGTGTCGCAGCTGCTGGTAAAGGGCTGGCGACCTGGTGAGCTCCCTTCTCAAGGCAGGAAATACTAGCTGTGGGAATACTCCTCTCCTGCAGCCCAGCAAAGAAAGGTACAACTCCTCTGGGGTTGCTACTTACAACAAAATCCTTTAAACCTTGTCCACTGGCCCTTCAGGTCTACAACCACCTTCTCTGTACATCTGGTCCCTGAAACAACAGGACATCTCCTCCATCTACAACAGGATGTATCCTCCATCTAGAGATAACTAGGCCCAACTCTTATAATACTGTGTCCTAGAAAGTAAAAGCTGGACCCCACTCCTGCCCCCCGGTGAGCTATGCATGGGTGGGCCTACCTCTGGGTAACCTCTTTCTGTGTTAGGAAGCAGGAGTCAGGACAGAGTCCTTTTGTTGTTTTGATTTTCTGTACTGGGACTCAAACCCAGGGCCTTTGCACTGAGTTACACCCTCAGCTTTCTGTATTTTTTAAATTTTATTTTATTTTTGTCTTTTTGAGACAGGGTCTCACTAGGCAGTTCAGGCTGGCCTTACATGCACTTTGTAGCCCAGGCTGGCCTTGAACTCAGCCATCCTCCTGCCTCAGCCTCCCAAGTGCTGGGATCACAGGCATGTGCCATCACACCCATTTTTTTTTAATTCTGAAACACAGTCTCGTTAAATTGCCCCAGCTGGGCTTGAACTGCAACCTTCCTGCCTCAGCCTCCCAGAGAGCTGGGGTGACAGGTGGGTGCCATAGTCTTTTGCCAGTCCTATGCCCAGCTGTGACAGTCCTTTTTGAGAACTGCCGCTGAGGAGTGAGATGCCTGAATTTCCATGGAAGGAGATGGAGGTGGATACAAATGAGCCATTAAAGCGCCTTCTTGAGGCCTTCAGCTTCAGCCCCGTGCAATGCTCTCCTTATACTCGGAACCACCCAAAACCAGGACCCTGAGTGAGGCAGAGCCGAGTGAGCGCACAGCCGGTAGCCCCAGAACCTTACTCTTCAATATCTGAAACGTCTTTGGTCTCGAAGCTGCCTGTGGTGAGGAGCTCAGGGCTGAGCTTCCCCTGGAACAGCAGCTCCTCCTTGGCCATCTTCACCAGGATGAGCCTCACCAGCTCCCCCATGTACATCCCGCTGATCATCTTCTCGAACCTGCAGGGGGACATGCACAGAGCCCCGGTGAACACACAGCCTTCCTGGGACCCCGGGACTTTGGAGCTTATCTGAGAGCCCGGTGCGGTATGTAACTAAGGATTAACGTAGGAGGCCCCGTCAAGAAACCCTATGTGGGGCTAGGCTGTCCCTCATGCTGACAGCCCTACCCTCAGCACCCAAATGAAACATCCAAACCCAAGTAGGGAACATTCCGGAATGAGCAGAATTGTAGGTAAGTTTTGTCTACAAAAGTGATATTGGGGCTGGGGAGATGGCTCAGTGGAATAAGTGCTTCCCTGGCAAGTACAAGAGCCTGAGTTCAAACCCCAGTTCCGTCAAAAAAAGAAAAAAGGAAAGAAAAGTGATCTTTACACATTCTTCTCCAGCAAGAAAATGATTTTCAAAAATAAAACCTTATGTAGACCCCAATATATTTTTTCAAGAGAAAAAAAGGTCAACCTGATGAAATGCCGGCATAGCCCTGCTTCTAGTCACTCAACCTGTGCGGCACTCCCTCTAGGCCCCTTTGGGATCCTTTGAAAAACAAAAGGTCACAAGGGCAGGTGCAGCAGAGCTCAAGAATCTAGGGATAAGCAGGGCGTGGTGGCCTGTAATGCCAGCAGTCGGGGCTGCTGAGGCAGGAGGATCTTGGGAGTTCAAGACAACCAGCCTGGGCTATAAAGTGAGCTCAAGGCCGACCTGAACTGCATAGCAAAACTCTGTCTTAAAAAGACATTTTAAAAAATTAAATTTAAAAAAAAGGTCTCCAAGGGTAACACACTAAACATTTCTGAGTAGGTAAGTGACAAGGGGAGAGGCAGAGGATGCCCCTCAAACTGAGAAGGTAGTTGGCGTAGTTTAGTTTTCCAACACTAGGTGACACTGTTCTCTTTAGAAATTAGTCTTTTAGGCTAGGACTAAGTGACAGAGAGGCCTGGTGACTTTCTTTCTGGCAAAGGTCTCTCAGAAAGGATCAGGGTCTTAAGAGCATCATGGCACCTGGGGCCTGCCACGACTACCCAGGGTGGGCTACAGTGAAGGAGGGTCCTGAACAGCAGAGTAGAAAGGATTTGGACATCACCTACCAGAGAGAAAACACAAGCCCCAGAAAGCTACTTGCTCAAGGCCCAGAGCCAGGAATGGCGGGGTTGGAGCTAAGCGAGAGCTGGCAGCACTGCCCTGAACTCAGGGTACACAGGAAATGCACAGCATCAGCACGGGCACTGCCTGGCTACCGCAGTAGAGAACTCGCATCTGCTTGAACATTGTCTTCCTGAAAGAACCCTGGAGTCAGGGGGTGCCCACAGTGTGTCAAGATCTATCATGATTTCAGGGCTACCACGGCTGGCAGTTTGGAATATGTCCTTTCAACCTTTTTCTTATGTATGGAAAGGGCAGGGGTATGCTGTCAACTGGCAGGCAATGTTCCCTTTGGACACTTCAAAGGACACATGGCTCCTGAGGATGACAAGGATGTCTCAGTAACAGAGGCAGGCACGGAGTGGGCGGCTTCTCAGCTCATAAACCTCTCATCACCCATGGCAGACACAAGCGCTCTGTGCCTAAGAAAGCTCAAGTACATGGACTCACATTTCAACATGTGAGGGAAGCTTGTGACTGAAAGAGACCCTGCGCTGAAGAAACAAGGGCTCTGAGGTAAAGGAAAGGCTACCCAGTGCTGATCTGGCTTATAGGGCTGGTCTTCCTCTCCAACCACAGATCTGTCCTAAGAGCCTTCTGAAAATGGTCAGAGCACCAAGAGGTCCGCAGAAGTGCTGCGTGTTCAAAGTGTTTTGCAACTGTCTTCAGCACTTGCAACATTCCTGCCCCAAGTTCTTCAAGAGGAACATTTATTTAGCAAATATGAAAATGAAAGGATGTTATGTAAGAAGCAAAAGTAACACAAAACCAAGTCTGATCAGGCAGGAGTGTACCGCACTCAGGGCGCAAAATGCCAGGGCCCCTCCCCTATCACCTCCCAGCCCAGCCCATGGCTGGGGCAGAAAACAAAAAGGCTACTTTGCTAGCTTTTCCACAGCTCTTGTGGCTGGGGCGGGAGGACGTGGGACCCTGTGGACACTGATGTGGTGACAGCTACGAAAGGGGCTTCCAGCGACCCTCATCTTGACCTTCTAGCTATGAGGTTTCTATGCTGCTCATAGTTTCTGCAGAAAATTTAAAATATAAGGTTGGAAGAAAGACAAGGGCCCCACACTTAGAACATGACCTTCTGAAGTGACTGCTGAAGGATGACCTCGTTTACGCACTTCATTGATTTCAGAGCCAGGTCGGAGATTTACAGTCATAAACATTCCCCTAATCAGTGCTACCTTGGCAACCTTTGGCAGACAATGTTAAGACTATAAAGAAAAAAGGAAATAAGCCTCTGGCCCTGGCCAGCCCCATCCACAGCCCCCTAGCCCTCCCCCGCATCTCGTACACAGCAAGGGACACTCACAGTTGCTTCCCAGGGTTCAGGGAGCCCATGTCGATCTCTTGGTCATACTCAGTGCGAATGTCATTGAGTGCACCGTCATCCCCGAAGGCCCCCCACTCCATGTTGATACACATCCGGCCCTCATCGCCCTCTACCATGTCGATGTGGCGCATCTCCTCCATGTAGCAGGCATTGCTGCCAGTGCCTGGCCAGAGCAAGACACCAGATCAACACTTATTTCCATTGTCTTCCCTTGCCCCAGGCTCATCCCCCTCTTCTTCCCCTCCAAAGTGACCGCACCATTATCTTCAAAGGTGAAGTGCAAGGAAATACCCCAGCATTGAAACGCTTCCCTCTGCAGCCCACACCCCCAAGCACGGGACACTGGACTGCACCAACCCTCACACCCCATGCTCACTCACCCACGATGAGACCGATCTCACAGTTCTGGTCATCATAGCCACAGGTCATCATGGTCCCAACCGTGTCGTTCACCACGGCCACAATGTCAATATCAAAGTCCTGTGGGATTGAAGGGAGGGCATGCCATCTCAGAAACGACACAGACGTGAAGATAGAGAAACAATAACAAAACACGCAGCTCAGTTGTAACACAGCTTCCCCTTTATCAGCCCAATGCAGAGCCAAAGAAAAGAAGAGCTGGAAATCCGGGCCTAGACCCAGTCAAACAGCAGCACCTCACTCGGCCAGTTCAGTTGCCTCCAGCATGGCTGACAATTTTCCTGACAGTATCCCTGCAGTCTAGTTAGTAGACATCACTGACTAAGAACCACCTTGCGGTCTTCTCTTTCTTCTTCCCCTCCACATCTTTTCTTCCTCTTCCTTTTCTCTCTCTCCTTCTTTCTCCCCATAACCCTTCTGATGAAGGACACTTTTTATGCTGTCCTCTTTCTGCCCTGTTCCACCTTCGTCTCAGCCTCATACCAACTTTCTTACTTGAAAAATGATAGCCAAGTCTTCTTCATGGTTAAGGAATGAGGGCTTTTTCTTGCACTAAAGCTAAGATTACTTTCTAGCATATAAAGCTCAGAAACTCAAAGGCATCTAATCACATACAAAATGCCTGGGTAATCAGCCTAGCAGGGAAGAAGCAAATTTCTCCAAAACCTTCCCAGACTGAGTGTGAGGACAGGCAGCAAAAGGACTTCAGAGCAGACCCAACAGAACTGCGGCCCCCAAGCTCCTGCCCCACTCACCCCTCTCCGTTGGATGGCCTTCCGGATCAAATCCACAATGTCTTTGCCTTCCACTCCACTGGACTTGAATCCCTTGGTCCATGAGACCAGAAAACTCTAGAAAAGACCCAAGGAATCAATATTGAGTCCCTACAACTAAACCAAAAACCACATTCCTCCAACAGTCTTCACGATCAGGGACCTCTGCCACTGGGCTAAGGTCAGGGCTGAATTTATAGATGGCCACTTGACGAGCCTAGAAAGAAGAAACCCAAGCTTCTGACCAGGAAAAGAGATTAAATGAATGACTCATCCATGTTTCACTGCCTCTAAGAAGAGGAAAAAGTAGGTTATTCACTGCGCACATAAGAGATTCACACCTTCATACCATCAACTGCTGGGCAACCTTCTTATAATGGTCTTTCTCATAGTACTTTAGAACAGAAGAATCCCTTAAAAGTGTGTGGAGGGCAAGAAGGACGCACACACACCCCTACACACTTAGAACTATCAACTTCCCATAATGAAATATTGTCTGTCCAACCCTTCAGTGCTGCCACCAGTACACCACAGAAGCAAGTAGCTTAGCAGCCCTCCTTGACCTCCCAGCCCTGAGCATGATGCCCTGGAAACATCTGAGAACCTGCTTACCTCATCTAGTTTAGTCTGGTGGCAGGGGAAGGAGAAGGTAAAGCCCAGTGGCAGCTTCTTATCTTTGATTTGTAGCTTCTCCATGAAGTTGGCCAGGCATTCGGCGATGTGGTCAAACAGCTAAGGACATATGACACAGCAAGATGAGTGGGGAGGCAGAATGGCACAGAGGTTAGGAGCAGGGACTTCTGATGCAGAAAGAAGTTGGCCTTGTCAGATCTCCACACTTCTCTCTGACGTCTTTCTTTGGTCATCTATAAAATGGGAATCATAACTGAACACTAGTTAGTACTCATTAAATGGTATCTTCCAGGTAAACCGTTTTCCTGGGCGCCTCTCAAAATAACCCTGAGAGGCAGGGAGTCTCACAAAGTTATCAGAAAGTCAACACAGGCTCTGACAACGGAGCATGTTTGGTGGCCCTATCACAGACATCCAGCTGATTATCCTACAAAAGGAAAGCCCATCTTACTGTAAGAAGTACCTCAGCATCCTTTGACTGGGGAGAAAGGGGTCTTCCTCTGTTCCCATTCCATGGAACAACTTAACAGAAATAATCAATTTTCTATTTCTCCATTCTAGAAAATGAATGCCCTGGGGACAACTGAAAGAAATTCTCAAAATCAATCTCTCTCTCTCTCTCTCTCTCTCTCTCTCTCTCTCTCTCTCTCTCCAAAGGAAGACCAATGAAAAGCACGCAGAACAGTGTTTTGTGGGTGAGAAGCCTCGCATCTGTGGACTCACTGAGCAGGACCTAAAAAGCTCCTAGACCTCAGAGAAGCCTGTTCACAATAAGCCTGGCTTCAGAGTGACCCTGGCAGCCACAGCCCACAGGCTTTCTTTTGCCCACTCAACACCCTCAGAGAGAACCTGATACCTTTACAGACACCAAGAAGCTGAGAGAAGAGGCATTCTAGTGCAGAAAGTAATCAGAGGCCAAAGAAAGAGCCTGAGCTGATTCCAAGGAACAGGTTGACTAGAGGGCAACATCTAAAAGCCAGGGAACACAGTGAGGCCTGAAGACAAGTATCTTTTCCCTTCCAGAATAAGCAGAGTCTATGAAGGATTCCCAAAGTGGTCATCCTGGACCAGCAGCATGCCTGTCCTTACCTGGTAACAGGTTAAAAATGTAAATTACACCCCTCCCCCAGGTTACAGTAGCAGAACCTTTGGAAGGTTCAACAATCTGTTAACAAGCCTCCCAGGTGGGCCGAGGCTGGTAAAACCACATTATTTGCATTTACATAGGAAATAAAAGGTTGAGGGAGGGAGGTGACAGGCCCACTGGCACCAGATGTCTGGGGAATAGTCAGGGGGAGGGGCCCAGAGAGACAGGGCCAGCCCAGGGTGGGAGATGGCTTGCTTGCACTGAGCTGCAGCCTCGATTCTGGCCCTCTCTCTGAGCCTCTGCAAAGTAAACCACAGCAACCCAAACCTTTGACCTCCAAAATAACACATCCTCAAGGCTAGGCTAAGCCAGAGCTCTCTGTCCAAAAGGGCCCACATACACACATGCGCAACTCCTTTAACAAATTTTAATATGTAAATAGGGCTTCTAGAGAGCTGTCCAACAAGCTCTATTATTTTGTTAACAAGCTGAAGAAAAATTGAGGGATATATTTATATCCCTCAATAAAGTGCTGGGGAGAAAGCTCAGTGCCTTAAGCACCTGCCTAGCAAGCACAAGGTCCTGAGTTCGATTACCCCCAAAAGCTAATTATATATTAAACAAATGTATAGTCTAATCATCTTGACTCACTTGTCAAACTTATCTCTATTACAAAAAGAAGAAAAAAAAAAAAAAAAAAAGGTGTGCAAAGAAAGAAAACGGATCACTGGAAAAACAAGAACCCTCAGAAGGTAGAAAAGCTAGACGGCTTCCCCACGCCAGCCCCAGCCCCTGTCCCCTATCCAGAGGGACAGAGAAAAGATAAGGCAGGAAAGAAGCTTGAAATCCTGCCTCAGCCCACAGAACAGCCACTGGCCATCTGTGACTATTTTAATTCATTTGTTTGTTTACAGTACTGGGGTTTGAACCAAACTAACCAAAATCAACAGTGCTTTTTAAAAGACAGATCTAGCTAAGTTGCCCAGGATGGCCTTGAATTTATGATCCTCCTGTCTCAACCTCCTCAACCACTGAGAAAACAAGATATGTCACCATGCCCAGCAGCAGAATTTTAAGAATTAAAATACAGCTTTTCCATCAAACTAGCCACATTTCAAGTACTTAATGTCACAGGCGGCTGACAGCTACCGTACTGCACAAAACAGACAGTGAGCAGGCCCATCATTGCCTGAATTTCCCATCATACAGTGCTCAGTTCGAAGAACTTAGACCTTTTTAAAACTGGGGAAAAGGAGACCCGTCTACTTCCTTGAACTGGAAGGCTGTCTCTCTGTTAGCTGAAGACCCAAGGGTAAGATGCTAGGAAAAAGAGCCAACAGCTTCCTGCCATAAAAGGCTCAAAAGGCATCATTTAATGAAGCTAGAAAGGCTTCCTTTTCCTTATTGGTCTGAGAATCTGCCCGCTCCCCTTCATAAAAGGCACACCTTGAAAATCCTAAGTGGCTGTATGGTTCATCCAGGAGCCCCAAGGCCCAGGTTCTCAGCTCAAGAGCCTTTTGCAAGTTTGGGCTTTCATGGTTTCAGTCTTGGGTTGTTTTTATTTTTATTTTTTTAATGTGTTTAGTACAGGGTCTACAGGGTCTCACTACACAGATTGGACTCATAGTGAACCTGTTTTCAGCCTCCCCAGTGGGATTACAGGTTCGTGCCACTATGCCCAGTCTCAGTCTCCATCTCAGTGTGCCCTGGGGGCAGGGCCAGCACAGTGGCATACCAGGGTTCGAACCCTAGTCACTGCACCTGCTTCCACTGAGCTATCTGGCCAGCCCTTAATCTTGGTTTTAACTAAACCACATTTTATAAGTTCACACTTTCCTTCAATTAAAGTACTTATTACTAATATCCAAAAGACCAGAAAACTTCACATGCATATGGAACCGTACCAATAATTATATCGCTAAATAGCTCCTTTGAATGTTTCTAGTCTTTTTCGAAACACTTTGTTGTTTTTAGGCACATGGCATTATTTCTTTCCTCAAGACGACAGACCCCTGTGTATATTATCTTCTAGTTGTTTCATTTTTGTATAGCATTTTTCTCATTTACTCAAAAATTTTCTAATATTCCAATAATGTTATTATTTCTTCCAGATAGGCATCATGGTTTTCATTCTTTTGTATCTTTTATTCTCTTATTCTGTCTTTAAAAATTTGAAGTGAAACTTTTTTTTTTTTTTGAGACGAGGTCTTGCTATACAGTTGAGGTTGGCCTTGAGCTTGCTTTTTAGCCCAGACTGGTCTCAAACTCTCAGCTATACTCCTGCCTCAGCCTCCCATTAGTGCTGAGATTACAGGCAGGTGCCATCACGCCCAGACTTGAACTAAAATATTTTGTTTACATATTGCATTGAGAATAGAGTAATCTTTCCCTATAACCCCTAAGTAGGTAGTTTAAGAAATCTTAAAGTTTTTCAAAGAACTGTACTCGTATCCTGAATGTCTGAAAAGAATGTCCTTTCTGGGTAAGCAGAGACCCACACGCCCTGCCCACAGCCACTGGCAGGCTCCAGGGCGAACATCCGCTGCAGAGGCCGGGAGGTATGTGGGTCCTCCAGGTAGTCGAGGCCACGGAAATGAGATAAAAATCTCCCCAATGTGTCCTCACCATGTTGCAAGTCTTTTTCACAATCACAGAGAGACTTACTGGTTTTGTCTTGTTTACTCAGTTCTCAAATATTTGTGATCTGGAGTTGGGGCCCAAAATGGAGGTACAGGCAGTAAGCAAAAAGGGGAACACATCCTCCAGAGACAGGAAGCAACTAGGTGAACAGACAAAACTTCCTCAAGAAAAGCAGTTAAGAGTACCGGTTGATATGTCAGGCACTATGCAATACACTGAACATGATGTATCTTCACTTCTAATTCTCGCCACAATTGAGGTTCTGTCATCTCCCTCTTTACAGATGGATAAAGCTAGGCTCCAACAGACATGAGGGAAACAGTGGAAGAAAAGCCTCATGCCCCTGTGTCCTCCAAACATTGGACTGGAGCCATGCAACGCTGTCCTGGGACACAGCCTCCTTCCCCAACCCCAGCAATAAGACTAAGAAAGCTGGTTTACCCTCAAGGCCAGCCCCAAAGACAAAGGATCACAAAGTAGTTCCCTCACTTGATCTGCTCATCCTCGGAATTCCTTTCCCAGGAATGGCCTGGTTGGTGGAAGAAGAAATAGCAAATAGAAAACAGAAGGCTTCACTTCTCCCAAGCCCTGAGGCCCATGAGGCATCTTAAGTCAATGCTTCTCCTCCACTTGTTCCTTTTATTATCAAGTGCCCACTCGGTATAAAATCCAGAAGGGAGAGCCACAGGTCCAGCTGACATGGGCTCTGCTTACTGTGCTAGTATCCAGGGATGTCCTGATAAGTGTCTTTCCCTCGGCTGAGAGCAGCAAAGATGCAGAAAGAACATTTTCCCCTCCTCCCACACCCCCTTGGGCCAGAGAAATAGCTCAGTAGAATAAGCAGTTGCCTAGCAAGCACAAGGTTCTGAGTTCAAGCCCCAGTACTGGAAAGAAAGAAAGGAAGGAAAAGAAAGAACGAATGAACGAACATCCCTGGCAAGTACCAGTAGCCAGCAGCAGCTTTCCTGAGACAAGGGTCCTACCTGAGTGCCACTGCCTCGCATAATGTCCTCTGGGATGGCGTAGATCTGGTTCTCCATCTCAACCCTCTGAAGCCCATTGTCTGTTACTTTAACCCAGAGCACACGAAAATTGGTCCCTCCAAGGTCCAGGGCCAAGAACTCTCCATGTTCTGTAGATAAAGAAAGGATCACTGTAAGTTTTAAGAAAGATAAGGTCAAGCTGCTCCCCAGAGGCAAATCACTGAAAATATTGAGTCCTTCCATAAGCAATGATTGTCTGTGGGGAAATAAGATGGTTAATGGGTTTTACTTTTTTCTTAAACACATTTATATTTGGTATTATTAATGCTAAGTACTGTTATGTTTCTTTTCCAATTCACATCAACAGTGGGATAGTTCCTCATCCAACAATGGGGCCCTCATCCCCTCACAAGACTAGGTGGTCAGTGTCTACAGCAAGTCCTCACAGAGCTCCTGCACTCCACAAACCTACTGCTTCCTCTGTAGGCCTGTCGGCCCCAGACTTACTGCCAAATTGACTCCTTCCAGTCCAAAACTGACTTAATATGTTCATACTAACATGGCGATGGCCTCCAACAGGATGGGGGGCTCACATGATGGAGGGAAATGGGATCCAACTGGCTATAGATTCAGTGGCCTGCCACAAAGTCTGTAGACACCTGCCCCAAGGACTTCAGGACTGCCAGGAGGAAGAGGAAGAGGTCCATCGTACAATTTGGGTCCCTTGGCTGCTCCACTTGAGTCACAGAGCTATAAAGGACTGAGAAAAGGGACTCCTCACAGGTTCCACAGACAGACACGAGGAGGATAGTAGTCCTTCCCACCAGGAAATAAGCAGCGCAGACAGGAAGCCTCCAGATTTGTTACAATAACACAGTCAGCTATAGGGAAGTGCCCTATTGTATGGCACAGAATGAAAGTGCTGAAGAGGCGCGGAGCCCACAGACAGGGCCATGACCAGCAACTGTGCGGGTGGGTGGGCAAAGGCCAGAAGAGACAGCTCGCCCACACCACAGGTTCAACTGGTAATGGCTGCCTAAACACCTTAAAAATGTGAGAATTTCCCTTGAGATTCACCAGTGGGCATGTTAGCAGTCAGTCCCTTTCCCAAACAAGGTCTGCCCCTGAAATAAAGCAAAAGGGATAGGAAACCAGTGCAGGGACAGGCTCTGAGTAAATAAACCAAAGGCTCATTCTGGATCCTGGTCTCCCTAGCACCGTTTGCCCTTTGGTCCTGAGAAAAGCCACGTCTTGGTATCTCTATGACAACACTACCCAGTCCCTAGAGTACAGAGAGGAAACCTAGAACCGACCGCATTGACTCCACAGTACTCACTCACATACACAGCCAGCTGCCTGGTGACCCCAGGAGAATGGCTATGGACTCCTTGTTGCCTATAGAGAATCCTCTGTAGCAGAAACAAGTTCCTGGGTCCTAGGTACCAACTGCCCCATCTCTAAAACAGAAATACCTACCCTACAGGGTTGTTTGAGGTGGAAGATTAGACATTGGGCTTCAAGCAACCAGCTCTGTACCAAGAACTGGAGACACACTCAGTAAGTGTGATCCAGCAAATGTTGCCCCACACCTACACCTAAACAGCAAGGGAGACTACAAAAATCTATCCAAGAAAAGCTACTGGAATCAGCTCAGGTGGCTTCAGCATTCCTCCTGAGGAGCACTGATTTTCCATTCCCTGCCTGGCGACTGGAGGTGGCCCCACTTGGCATGGTTGCTTGCTCACTAAAGCAGCACCAACCTGTCTGTGGGGGTCTCATGCTTGTCGTTGCCACAAGCAACTTTTCCAGGCATGCTGGTTCTAAGCATCGATAGTAGTGGGACCTCAGCCAGATTCTAGGAAGCACTATGTGGCGGTGGTCACGAGGAATGAAAAGGAAAACCAGAGATGAACTGCCTCATCAGCACTCTGAGGCCCAGGACACACAATCTGCTGAATCAGTGATCGCAGGGGACTGAGGCAGCCAGGTTTTCCCTGGTTGGTTCCCATTCAAGGCCAGCCCAGCTGGATTCATGGGAGGGACACAGCTCTTCCAGGAATGTGATCTTGCCACATTTTCTGTTGGACTGAAGGGAAATGACAAATAATAAAGGACTGCTGAAAATTCCCAGAAAGAAATTCCAGGATCCTCTAAAACAAAAAGGCATCCCTCCTTCCCAGCACCCCAAACACGACAACTGCCATATCCAAGGAGTGTACTCCTTGAGTCCAGAATCTGAGGCAGGCCCAGCATCATGAACCCAGAAATCTTAACAGGATCCCTCAGGGCAATGAACAGATGCCCTCCTCATTTCCATGTCTACACTACACATGATAGTCAGCCATAAAGCTGTGATTAACTGCTGGTTAGAGATGTTAGGCAGTTCTTATTAATTCCCACTCAGCTGTTGCATTACTTGTGCGCCAACACCCTACCTGTAGAACACAACTCACAATACCAACTTCTCCCAGCAGTTGTGAGGCTTACATGAAATATGGACAATGTTAAATGTGTATGTGCCCTTAGGAATATTTTATAATGTAAGCCAGTGGTGCTAAACTTATGGTATGCACGCTACAATGGGCCAGTCATATTACTGAGAGCTCTAAAAGGTTCATCATCACTGTAGTTAGCCATCAAACGAATAGCTAACATCCTTGTCATTATACATTAATACCATTATTCCAGTCTTATGTAGCTTCTCCCTCTTGGGGTTTTGGCAACTCCAAACCCTGCCTATTACTGGTTATAGCTAAAGAGCTACCTCTACAGAGAACTTTCTAGAACATTCCAGAAGCCCAGAGTAAGGTTCATATGAGAATGCGATGAGGTGTGAAGCATAGGTGCACCTGAAGGCCTGTATAAAGCGGGATAAAGACTGTTGCACATAAAAACACCACACCAAGGGAAAGTTTGCCAAGAAAAGGCAAAACCACAGAGCAGAGGGCCCTCTAAAGTCAGACAGAGAATTCTGTAAATAACTGCTATGAGGCAGATTTTGAGGAAACTATCTCATGCTTAATTTGCCCCATTGATAGTTCATTTATTAAAATGTTTGCAGACTTCAAGGAATATGGCATAGTAGTAGTAAACACCAAATCTCTGAGTTTTGGTGGCTAAGTTGCTGGAATACTGCAAGATGAGGAAAAGGGAAGTGGGTTCCCAGGAAGGATTTAAAGTGATAATCTAGGGACAGGGAATGGCTCAGTGGAATAAGCACTTCCCTAGCAAGTGCAAGGGTCTGAGTTCAATCCCTGGTTCTGCAAAAAAATAGAGTGATAATCTAAGCCAATGTGGAGAGTGAAGAGAATTCAACAAAGAAGAGATGGCAAGTAATACTTTTGCCCTGAGCATGATGCACTGCACAGCAGGGAAGTCGCAAACCTGCAGATGCATGGTGATTACTGGCAGCCCCGAGGCCTCCACAGAAAAACACAGCAGCAGAATGAACAGTCGGCAACGCAGACTGCAGTGACTGGCGAGTTGCTTGGGTTCAGCCATAGCCTAGGAGATGGCAGTCGCCCAGTACCCATCTTGGCGAGGGGAAACTGAGCCATGTCAGAGCCACTAGAGGTTGGCTCCATCTAATGGGTCCCTGTGTCAGGCGAGGCAGAGATAAGTTCAAGCCAGCAGGAGATCAAGGAGGTGAGTTTCAACCAGCAGGAGAATTCAAGCACAAGGAGGCACAGGGAATGTCACAGACTAAACAAATCAGGTTCCAGCCTCAGAGCCAGAAGCCAGGCTGAACTGCAGTGGAACTACCACATGCTATAGCTGATTGCTGAGCTTAGTCAGCACGGATCTGAACTCTGTCCACTTTTGTGTACCAGTGACAGCAGAGTCACGCTGCCTACAAGTGGACCTTTAAAAGTTATTTTTCTCTTTTATTTTTGTTTTTTTCCTAATTGTTCTTTTTATATCAATGTGAGGGGCTGGGGATATCGCCCAGCAACAGGTCCTGAGTTTGATTCCTGGTATCAAAAAAAAAAAAAAAAAAATCTATGAATGTGTGGCTTTTGCTATTGTTGCTGTTCTGTTTGTTCTTGTTTTTATTTCTTCTTTCTCTTTTCTCGCTTCTTCACTTTTCCAAAGCTAACATACTCTTCCCTGTCCTCCAGCCTTGCTTCTAATCTCTTCCCCTTTTTCTATTCCTCTATTCCCCCCCCCCCCAGGGCCAGCAAGATAGCTCAGCAGTCTAAGGCACCTGCTTAGGCAAGCTTAGGCAGGTACAGGGAACTGCGGTTCAATCCCTGGCACCACATGCTGTGCCAGTCCTGCCCTTAGGGCAGGATGAGCTGGTCAAAAATTAAAAAATAAAAAATTTCCCCTCCAACCCCTTTTAAATTTTCTCCACCAAGCGTAAAACCACCATACTGAGGGTATATTTACTATATCCAATTTTCTGTTATTTTAAATTCTGTTATATAACCACAAATCTAGTTCATATGGTTAAAGGTGGCAAATAAATAATTACCAGTTTGTCATTTTCTAGGCTGTTTGATGCTATTGTTCTTGCTGATTGTTCTACTCTAGCCAAGGTGACATAATTGTTCCAATCAGTTGTTCCTCACCTCACCAAGCCTAAGATTGATTAAGGGTCATAGGTCAAGGCCAAAGAACCAGGGCTAGGCCAAACAGGCAGCATCTTCTCATCCCCAATAAACTGGAGAGGTAGGAAATTGCAAAACCCAGAAGACAGCTATATCTGGAAGACATCTCTGAGAAGTCGTCACTTCCTAAGGATTCTGCATACTGGCAATAAAGTTATTTGCCACAAGCAATATACATGCATCAATCCAGGAAATAAACTTAAAAATCAGAGAAAGTGAGAAGACACTTAGGCAAGATGGAACCGCAGACTTCCAGCTCACCAAAGGCAAACTCAAGGAGCAATAAGGTGAGACACATTGAAAGCTACCATCTGGACATTCTGAAGCGGTAACAGCAGAAGTAAGAAAGCTGGTGAGGGACAGGTATAAAACTTAGTGGCACAGCACCTGCCCAGCAAGTGCCAGGTCCTAAGTTAAGATTTCCAGTACCAAAATAATAATAATAATAATAATTTTTTGAAATAAACATTAACTAGGCTCTAGAAAAAAATCAAACCAGAAATAATTTCTCAGATAATTACAGACACAGTAACCATATT